GAGGAGCTTGTCAAATATCTAAAAGGACAAGTGGAGGAGGAGGACTCGGCCTCGGTCTCGGAAGAGAGGACATCAAAGTAAGATTGGTTGGCCGTAGAGGCCTGCTGGAGTGTCCGCAAACGAAAAAAACCTGTGGACTTGGACCGGTTAGGCTGAGCGGCCTTTTCGGTCTGGGCGGTGTTCTCCACAACAGCCTTGCCCTTGTCTTGAATCCCCTTTGGGAACTCTGACGGGCGGGCACGGGCCTTCCCCTTCCCCTTGGGGTCCCCCAGAGAAGTTGAGGGCCCGATCTGGCCATACGACCCCGCGGCGAAAGCAATGGACGGGGCTTGTTGCCACTTGTGTAGCAGTCAGCCCCTACGTGACCCACGTGGTCACACAATGTGTAGTAAGGTGGGATCCTCTCGTATACCAACCCCAATCAAAGAAGAGGCGGCGGCCACCGGGTCAACAACGACAGTTGACTGAACTCCAGCATGAAAGACTTCCGGCAATTACTGGCAGTCCGCAGGTTTTACAGAGATAGTCCAAGTTCTCATAAAATCCGCCAACAGCCTAGAGTGTGAGAAGAATGCTCGAACTGTCGATATGAAAAAGTGCATCGTAAGTCTCTATTAGTTGCTCAAAATTTGAACCATTCCATTTTGTTCAATTACTCTTTTGCCAAAATCCTGAATTTATGCTATTGAATGAATTGAATATTTGAACGTATTGATTTGGCGAAATTACCGTCAAGACGGATATACTTGGCCAAAATCCTGAATTTATGCTCTTGAATGAATTTATGCAATTGCCCCAAGAATAAACATAAGATACTCGGTGAGGGTATATAGAATATAACTGGTTGATGGATTTGTTGTAGCAAATTTTATTTTTACCGAGAACGGGATGACTCCCGACCTCGGGTCGATCTCACAAGGAAGACGGTTCGGAATTCAGTTTTGGTATCGATCACACATAAAAAGAAAATAAATCCTAAACACTCTAATCAGATAGCAGTTGGATGATTATCAACTAAGAAATAATAAAAGCAATGATCTACCAAGAATATAAACTAACAAAGATGAAGAAGCTAGCGAGTCGGGGATAATTAATTCAAGTTCTAGCAAAGCCGGGCAGTCAAATGCTCGGTTCGAGATTGACACTCTCGCTTAAACATCTAGCGGTTCGCTCCCAATAACTTTTCGTAACAAGGGATTGAACATAGACGAACAAGCTCGAGCATACAACACAAGCCAATTATCCTAATCCCAATAACTTTTCGTAACAAGGGATTGAACATAGACGAACAAGCTCGAGCATACAACACAAGCCAATTATCCCAATCCCAATAACTTTTCGTAACAAGGGACGGGTCATCGACAAGCACGTATTTCAATCTCAACCCATAGATTATTCAACTACGAAATCATCTACCTCATGCGAGCCTAGGTCTACGACTTCTCCCCTTTCGGTTCTGAAAGTCGCTAATTAACTAGAAGGTGGTTAATCAACTAATCATACAGAACTGACAAACCCTAGCTCGACAAATTAACATTGAATTGTTTCCAATCGCAAGATCGAAGTGTCACTCTTCGATTATATCAATCAATCAAGCACAAATTCATCAATTTTGAATTAATTCAACTCACATAAGCATGAACAATTTTGGGCCCGACAAATGCACGTTAAACAAGAACAATCATCCCCTATCCCTAGCAATCAGAATTAGCTACGCAAATTGAATTCAACACAATAATTCATTTCTCCTAATTTAACCATTATTCATGAATTAAACAAGAGAGAAAAGAAACTTACCAATGATCTCAAGTCCAAATGTTGAATTCGAATTACAAGCTTAATCTCTAACTAAGAAAAAGAAGAAGAAATAAGATGGAAAATAAAAGTGAAAAGAAGAAGAAAAACGAAGAAGAAGAAGAAGAAAAGGAAGAGAAGTGAGTTTTTGTGTTTTTCTGGACCTAGGGTTCGTCCCCAGGAGGGGGAGAATGAATAAAACGAGTTCCCGTGCACATATTTATAAGAAAAGTCGGCCACGGCGTGAGGAAGGCGCGACACGGCGCGGTGGAAGGGCGCTCCGCGGCGCGGTGGGCGCGCGGGGCGCGCGCGGGGCCTGGGCAGCTCGCACTTCTTCACGTCTCGGGCTCGTTTGGGCTCGTCCGAACTCGAAATTGAATTCCGTTTTTCCTATGCGTTGCCAATGAAGCCCTCTACGCAATGGTGCTTTCAAATCCAACTTATTCTTGAAAACAAGTACTCCCAAAGATTTTGACTTGAAGGTGATGGCTTCCGTGCGCGACTTCACATATCGGGCCCATCCGGACTCTTCCGAACTCGAAATCGAATTATGCTTTTTCCTACTTGTAGCCAACGAACCCATGTACTTAATGATGTTCACCCGGCCCACTTATCATGAAAAATAAATTCTCTCGAAGCTTTCGACTTGCACACCATAAACGAAGAATAACCGGAAAAACATACGGAAAACACAAGAAAAACCAAGATAGAGGAAAACACGCAATAAACTACAAAACGAGATAAAAACTAACTAAAAGACCTAATATGGGGGAAAAAAGAAAGGAAAAATAACAAGAAAAAATGCAACAAAAATGGGACAAACAATGAATAATTTTTTCACACATTTTAATTCTATATCTAACTCAATTTTAATTCAACTTAGCTCTCATACTTTTTAAATTTTAATTCAATATCTCACTCAATTTTAATTCAACTTAGCTCTCACACTTTTTAAATGCAACTCAACTTTAATCCAACTTTAACTCATACTTGTTATTAATATAACTAAATACTATCAATTAAACATTCTCACATTACTTCAACTATAATTCATTATTTATTCACTCACATATTTCTATCATTTCTAATAACATCTTTTATGTTTCCATCGCATCAACTTTAATTATTATATTTTTAATATTATTATAATCCAAACTCAAAATCACACTCGATCATTCACCCAATCAACTTTATTTATAATTAACTTATTTTAACTCAAAATCAAATAAAAATTAGTTTTAATTTATATCCACTCTCCCCTTAGAATTTATGCTCCGATAATTAGCATGAAAAGTTGCTACCTCACCATTTGAGGTTCAAGTATTTATTTGATATAGAACCATGATCTTAACTTGTCAAGATAGTCTGTTAAAAAAGGAGTCTTCGTCCGTCCTTAATTCTTTTTGTTTCTTGAGTGATACTTATTTAGGAAATATCAACCGCGCAGATAGGCTCAATAATACCACATTCGCCGTTGAGACACTATAGAAGATTGGAAAGGTATAATATAATGGCCCGGAGGCTGTGTTCCCGCCTACCCTCTCTCAGCACCCTCGCAAAAACCCAACTCCAAAACCACGTCGTTTCTGTTTGTCCCCCAACACAGATATATTCTTCTAATCTCATTTCCCAATCTCCACACCTTCTTCCTCGCTCCAATCCAATTTTCCAAGGTAACACTTTCTTTCACTCACCTCCAAAACTTATGCACCCTATCTGTTTGTGTTAAGTCCTCAATGAACAATTACACCTTTCTCCTATTCCTCTTCGTATTTTTCTTTCTTTTCCATAGTAATATTAATAAGGCAAAATTGCATATTAATACACCACCTTTCATGTTTTTGCAATTTAATCACTACCTTTGAAATTTCTCAAATCAACGAAACCGTCATTCATGTATCGATTTGCAAAAATGGTAAAGGTGGTGCATCAATTTTCAAAATTTCAAAAGTGGTGATTAAATTGCAAAAACATGAAAGGTGGCGCATTAACATGCAATTTTATGCCTAATAATAATAATAATCACATTACTAACCCTTTTCCACAGATGCTCGATCGTACACCCGGGGCAGTCGACCCCCTCGCAACGACCTCTTTGGCGGCAAACTCCCGAAGAACCCCAAAGAGTTCCGCGAGGAGTGGGCCCGCCAGATGGAAGACGACGAGGACCACCTCTGGACCGCCAGCGAGGACGACGAAAACGACCCCAACTCCAACCCCAACATCCAACTCAAGAAAGACATAAAAAAGGCCAAGCAACGGGCCCGTGCCCGTTCCGACCCCGGAGTCGACGCCGACGACAGCGACGAGCTCCGCAGCATCTGGTCCTCCGACGCCGACAGCGACGACGAGAAATCCCTATGGACCGGCGACGAGGGCGACGACGAGGCCGACGTCCCTACCGATCCCATCCCCAACGAGCGCAGCGACGAGTACATCGACCGGCTTTTCGAGTTCGACGAGAAGCCCAAGCACCGGACGCTGGCCCAGGCGATGAGAGACGAAGATAATACGGAGGAGGAGGAGATGTCTCCAGGTAAGCGCGCGCGCAAGCTGGCGGTGCAGAGTGCGCTGAGGAAGCTGAGAAAGGGGCCGGACGGGCGGTATGTGAATGTGTGGGAGGTGATGAGCGATTTGGATGTTTTGATTGGGGCGTTTGAGAATATCGTGTCAGGGCCGGAGTACGAGGAGTTGAGGAAGGGTGGGCCGAAGAAGCTGAACATGGAGTTTTTTAAGGAAGTGCAGGCAAAGATGAGGGATCCGAATTACGAGTTTTCGCCGGAGTTGAAACTGAGGCCTAAGGGCAAGGTGGTACTGAGGAGGAAGTGGGAGAAGGCGCAGTCAAGGAGGCGTAAGGCGCAGAGGAGGTAGAATATTTCTTTTTTTTTGTTTTTTCATGGCTTTGTTAGTGTGTGTGTGTTTGTGTGATGGTATGGACTACCCAAGTCTTGGAGTGTGTCTTGAAGTGTCTCATCTGTGTGTTTGATTATTGCTGGAACATGTTATCTGTTTGATTTGATGTCTTCATCAGTAACTGTTGTTGCTATGGTGTAGATATTGAGATATTAACTACAAGATAAATAACATATTTAACTAATAGAAATGAATATTTCTTATCCACCAAGTCAGAATTTAAGGTTCGTCGAAAGAGATTACATGTATTGTATTTATTCTTGACATTATTTCTAATTTGTCTTTGTTGTAAGATTTAATTCTTGACCATTTTGAATTACCAAAATATATTCATGCTAAACATGATATTTAATTTAATGAATGTAATTCAAATTAAGAATAGAAGGTTATAATGTGTATAAATTAATATTTTTAGAGAAAATATATTCAAAATAGGTAAAAGTAATTATCCATACTTTGAGAGTATTTATATGTATATAGTTTGAAAATAGTATAAAGTAAAAAATAATTAAAAATAAAAATATATCCTAAAACGACATTATTTTATGAATGGAGACTGTAACAACCATTTTAATTTTTAATCTAAGTATTTGACGATGGTCTGGATTGGCTATTGTTATTTTCTTTTACAGGCTTAATAAAATCTATAGAAAATAATATTATATGATAGTTATTGCATAGCTAAAATTTTTTTTATTTATCGTTTTTGGAATAGAGAAGTATCGATTCAGTTTAAAATTTAAATCTATGTTTTAAAGATCATTTTGTGATTGACAAATATTTAATTCTTCAAAAGTAGTAATTTTTATTCTTTTTTTTATTTAGTTTGGTGTAAAAAGTAATTCTCACTTTTACTTAGACATATGTTTTAAGAATTTTATTTATTCAAAAGAATATATATAATTTCTAAAATTTCATATATTTGGTAAAAAAATTATTATTAATTTAAAAATTTCTACTTATTCATTTATTTAAAAATGATTAATAAAATAGTATGATGTTATTTTATATTTAAATTATTTATAAGAAAACAATAATAAATAATAGACCAATTATATACGATAAAAAAATTAATTATAATATCAAAATAAATAATCTTTAACCAAAAGATGTGATTGTGTGTGAAGCTAATAAAGATTGTGTATTAATGTAAAAATGAGTTAACAAAATTACTATAGATACTCTAACATGTGTTTCTAAGATATTCTAAAAGGACCTCGAACTGGCTTGGTTCGACCTTGGTTACCTTGCTCGCTGGTTGATGATCTACGGTACCTGCACAAACTCAACACCGGATGGTTTCCCGGCGTAGAGCCTCCGATGCTCAAGTCAGAACGTGAAGAAGATGATGAACAATAGTAGAGAACTGTAAATAGGTGTAGAGTGAGTGTAGAGAATGTAATGTAGTTATGGGCATACCTCACTCCCTTGTATAGGGATGTGTTACTTTGTTGCTCAAGGCTCCCTGAGTGTAGAGAATTACTTTTTACACCAAACTAAAACAAAAAAGAATAAAAATTACTACTTTTGAAGAATTAAATATTTGTCAATCACAAAATGATCTTTAAAAACATAGATTTAAATTTTAAACTGAATCGATACTTCTCTATTCCAAAAACGATAAATAAACAAAATTTTAGCTATGCAATAACTATCATATAATATTATTTTCTATAGATTTTATTAAGCCTGTAAAAGAAAATAACAATAGCCAATCCAGACCATCGTCAAATACTTAGATTAAAAATTAAAATGGTTGTTACAGTCTCCATTCATAAAATAATGTCGTTTTAGGATATATTTTTATTTTTAATTACTTTTTACTTTATACTATTTTCAAACTATATACATATAAATACTCTCAAAGTATGGATAATTACTTTTACCTATTTTGAATATATTTTCTCTAAGAATATTAATTTATACACATTATAACCTTCTATTCTTAATTTGAATTACATTCATTAAATTAAATATCATGTTTAGCATGAATATATTTTGGTAATTCAAAATGGTCAAGAATTAAATCTTACAACAAAGACAAATTAGAAATAATGTCAAGAATAAATACAATACATGTAATCTCTTTCGACGAACCTTAAGTTCTGACTTGGTGGATAAGAAATATTCATTTCTATTAGTTAAATATGTTATTTATCTTGTAGTTTGTTCGCAAAATATTTTCACTACCCGCAAGTGTACGGTATAGCTATAGTGAGTGGCGAGCAAGGTCGTATTCCACAGAGATTGTTGTCAAAATAACTAAGTATCAAAATGTAAACGGTTAAATATTATTCAGTCCAATGCAAATTTATATGGTGATTTTATTCTAAACTAACGAATGATTGCAAAATAAATTCTAACACTAATTAAGGCTCGTTCTAAGATAAATCAAGTATGAGAAAATAGATTCTAGGCTATGCTTTCCTCGGGATTATTCTAGCAAAGATTAATTATTCATTCAAACCTTATTTAATTCTACCATTCGTAGAGATAATCGCTAAAGTAATTTACACCTTTCTCTCGAACAAGTTAAATCGTAGATATTAATTGTTATCTATCTCCTCTCGGTCTCAAGATGAACAATCAACTCCCATGAGCTCCTAAGATTTTAGTTATCTTGCAACATTCTATCAACCTCTCGGTCTGTTTAGTTTCTTACGTTATGAATTTCTCAATTCTAGCAATCAACTATCTCCTCTCGGTCTCAAGTCAATCACAAATATGCATAAATACAGGCTCTTATATTCACACAATTAATAAAAGCACAAGAAATTGATAAACGAATGATAAACCGGAATGAATAAATAAAATCACTTCATAAAATAATCCGAGTACTTGCAAATCCTAGAATCCCTGAAAGGTTTAGCTACTAAACATATTCTCAAAACTCAAAATAAATAAATCCATGAGTTCAATGAAGAAGGAAAAGAGAAAAGAAAGAAGAACTATTGTCGCCGTTAGTTCCCGAATCTTCAATCTTGACTTCCTTGAATTCCTTGTGTGTTTTGTGCTTTCTCTAGGCCTCCAATGGTGTCCAAGTCCCCAAAAACGAGTTCCTAAGGCCTCTTTTATACTGTAGGACAAATCTGGGTCGAAAAAGGGAAGAAATCGCACAAGAATTCTATTCCTCGTTGAACTAGTCTGCGCGTCACACGAGTCGTGTCACATGCCACACGAGTCGTGTGACTTTTCCCAATGTTTTAGTAAACTTCCAGACTCACACGACCACTCACACGACCGGGTCACACGAGTCGTGTGAGGCCACACGAGTCATGTCTCAACCCACACGACCCGTGTGAAATAGCCGCAGCTGCACTTCTTATTTTCTCAACCCACACGACCCGTGTCACTACCCACACGAGTCGTGTGACCTCTTCTGCACCCGTTTTTGCCGTTTTTCGTCCCGATTCCATTTTCAACGCTTTTCCGGGCATATTTCCTGCAAAACCAATGACAAAAACACCTCCATCATAGATTAATAAATCAAACAAAATGGTGCTTAATCACACGATAACCAAGGCCTAATATCACAATATATCACTCATAATGCATGAAAATATGATGAATGTCAACTCCCCCAAACTGAAACCCTTGTTCGTCCCCGAACAAGAATAAGAAAATCAGAACTCAAGCATAATGAGTGATATCAAACTAGAACAGCTTCAAGTCTTTCAATGCAACCAAGAAAAATTCAAAAGATCATAAATATCATGCTTTGACTATTAACTTGTATCCACCTTGAATCAACGAACTCTCAAATAGGATTATATAAGTGCCTCACTCACATGTCATCAATATATAAAAGAGAAGGACACGCTCAAGTCACATTGGACACCCAGTTAACTATATGTTTGTCAATCATCTAAAACTCTACTTCAAACACAACCAATAATCATGAGCTTTAAATCAAAAGGTCTTTCCAGGTTGGAATGTAGGCTATTTGGTCAAGGGTAAGATATATATGGGTTAAGTGGCTCAAATAGACAATTATACCATTCGAGTAAATAGACTACTCGACATACTCCACTCTTCCTCTCTAATCACATAAAGCTTTTCTCAATCCCAAACCAAAATAATCCATACACAACTCATAAATGCTCAAATCAAACTGCAAAGGAAGTACTTGACCATTTATTTTTTATTTTTTTTTTTTTAAGAGAGTTCCATTTTTTTCCAAACAAAATCAAACTGCAAGAACAATATTCTCTAGGTCTAAAAATTGGAGGTCGTCCAAGTGTCCTAGAGTGGTTTCCCATTACTCATTACCCGTCAAAATAAATCAACTAGTAAGAGGAGTAGAATTCCAACAATTCGACTTGCGAGCTCTCTTTATTATCATTTTTTTTATTTTCTTCTTCTTCTTTCTTTCTTCTTTTTTTTTTTCGGTCAAACACAATGCATGCAACTCAATCACACCTCATTCTATACCCAATCATCCAATAAATAACTCCGTTATCCCCATACATCCCAAATATCAGTCAACTCTCAAAATAAATAAGATAAACTGGTCGACAAGAAAAAGGCTTAAGGCTCAAACGGGCTGCTAGTGGAAAATATTTTTAAGGACAAAGAACAAGGCCAAACGAGCTAAATTCAAGAACCGCCTAAATCATTTTTAAAGCTCAAAATCATCAATGCATTTTTTCAAGTGTAGAATCAAGGCAAATTCTAATAACTCGGGCATTCAATTGACACACACAGACAAGGAATAAAGGCTCAAATCTCACTAGGCTCAATATATCGCTAATTCAAGGCTGACAAGCACTTTCATCTAGGCATGAATTTTACAATCCCATCACAATTTCTCAGTCACATCAAATTACCATTCACCATTCAAGTTATACATACCTCATCAAATCGAAAGCCCAAAATACACAAGAAACTGACTCATAATAAAAATGCTACTCCTAAAAAGCAAGTAAACGTGTTCTAACTCAATAAAAACATAAAAATAAAAAATAAATTAATGCAACCTATATGAAATGCAAGATAGATGGGATAAGAACCTAAGATATGCCGCACCCCTCCCCCAAACTTATTCTTTCGAGAAAGAACAAATTTGAAGAAAAAGTGGTATATCTTAGGGGACTAACTTCCTGAAAATCACGGCGGAGGAGGAGGAAAATTCCCCTCGTGTCTCTGCATCCAATCGAACAGCTGCTGGAAACCGCTGTTCCTCCTCTCCTCTAGCCGGGCCGCAGACGCACGGTTCTCATCCCTTATGCCCCGTACGTCCGTCCTAAGCTCTCGCATCTCTCGCTCAAGCGTCTCCATCCGCTCCTCCATATCCGGCTCTCGACGCCGACGCCTCTGCCTATACCTCTACTGCTGCTCAGCTGCCCGGGAGGACTCCGGTCTGTCCTCTCCCACTGGCTGTTCGGGCACTTCGCCATCACCCTCATACCTCACAAGGGCTCCCACATCTTCGCCCTCGAAGGCAGCTATCTCTTCCTCCTCCTCATCCTGGTCTGCCCGGTCATAGATAGTCGGTCGCGGGGCAAGCTTCCGGAGGGACCCCACAGGTCGCCTCTCTGCCACAACCCGCCGATGCTCGGTAGTGTCCATCTGCCAGTTCTCCGGCCGGTGGACTCCAGTCAACTGTGGGAAAGGTAACAGGAAATTGTCGCCCTCCTTCTGTAAGAAGAACATGTTATAGCTCATGTCCGTCTTCAAATAGCTCATGTTCACCAGGGCCGACAAATTTAGCGAGTCCGGTCCCGAGACTTGCTCCCAATCAGTGTGGCCAATCCCCAGCTGGTCGGCAATCATCGTCACAAGTCCACCACACCGGATGACATCCGTATCCGCCCGGCTCAGTCGGAGTAGATGGTC